ATAATTCGAAGAATCTTCGTTGTCCTACGGTATCCTATGATGATATAAAAATGAATCGACAAGCAGTCTACATGGCAGAGGGTAAAGAGAAACAAGATCTTGTTTTGATGAAATATATCTCTGCTTTCGAGCAAAGAAGAAAGGGAAGTGGTGCTTCTGTCTCTGTAACTCGCACGATAACGGTTTCTGTGAAATTGTTTCTCAATGGTCAGAAATAGAAACGCATGATTCCTGTCAGTAAAAATGTTTTTGTTTTCCCAATGGGTGTGCCTGCCACTCGACTACTGCGGATTAGAAAGGTCGTCAATCAAGGTCTGCTGCCCAAAGAAAATAGAGGTGGTTATCGATGAGAAGCTTTTTTCAGAGCCAAAAAGAAAGCAGTCCGTCAATTTCTTGGTAAACTAAATTGTGTCGAGTCTCATTATGGAAGAGGAAAAAGTAAGAGAGTTTACCTTTCAGCAGAGTTAAGTGTAAATAAGTTATATAAAACGTTTAAGGATGCTTACACTGCCGATTTGCACGTCAGCTATTCATGTTTTCACCGTATTTTTGTAACCGATTTTAACATTGGATTTTACTCTCCAGCTACAGACGCATGCTCTACGTGCACTAGTCTTAAATATCTTATTCAACAAAACGCTCGCAGCTTAGTTAAAAGAATTAGTCCAATGACTGAACTTCGTATTCACAAGCTGAGAGCGGATGCGCTTTACAAACTAATAAAGGAAGTTCCCAGTGATACTTATAGTTTTGTTTTTGATGTGCAACAAGTGCACCCACTCCCTAAAACTCCAATCGGCGATGTCTATTATCGCCGACAAATTGCATTCTATGCATTTTCTCTGTGTCTATTGACCCAAAGGCACCAACATTTTATACGTGAAATGAAAAGCAGAGAAGCAGAAGAGCAACTGAAATCGGATCTGCACTCATCCATCACTTAAGATGCTAAGATCTTTCATCTTTTTCTGCAGTATCGTTGTTTTGTGATGGATGCTCTAGCCAAAATAAAAATGCTCATATTGTTCATGTTTTGTGCCATTGGCTTAAAAATAAGGCTCCAGAATGTACAGAAAAAAGAGAAATCATACGATTTTCTACCTGGCGAAACCGAATTCAAATTTTTACCACTGTGCCTTCTAAAACTTGCAAAGCAAACAGCTTGATAAATTACTCGGCAAGGGAATCTAAAATATGCATTCCACCTGCCGTTCATCATGGTCAAAATTCGTAGTGAATTTAGTTTCTGGTACTCCAAAGTAAAGAAATAAAACATAATGACGGTATTAGATTTTTGTCTCGATACAGGGCAGCGGCAAGCCGCTTATACGTATTTCGACCTCTTTAGGTCTCATCAGAGTGGTATATGCCACTGCTCTGAGGTACATACAGTGGCCACTGCTAGTGGCATATACTGATGAGACCTAAAGAGATCGAAATACGTATAAGCGGTTTGCCGCTGCATTGTATCGAAACAAAAATCTAATGTACAGAAAATTTATGTAATCTTTTCCACTCGTGGCCACAGTTTTTTTCCAGCTGATCCGTGTGGAGAATCGCTCGAAAAAACTGATACCATCATCTCGAGCGAAGAGTATGCTTCTATTTACGAGGAGTTTGGTTCTGTACAGAAACTGGGACAAGATTGGGGATATATGATATCAAAAGCCTTAAAATGATTTATCAAAAAATGAAAGGAATCAGCCAAGCCAAACGCCTCATTATTAAGAAAATCAATACAAGGGACCGGTATACTGTAACCAAAATAAAATGCTGCACCAACTATAGGTTCGATAGTGGAACAGAAACTTTTAGAAGCATTGTAAAAAAAATAAAAATGATTTTCTTCATGCTCTTCCACAAATACCACTCTATCATTCCGTCACTGAAAAGAAAAAAAAGGTCCTTCATTTATTGCAAACCCACTTTGGACAAAATTGGAAAGAGAACCCTGATCTTCATTGGTATAATGATGCTATTCAACACAAAGTTACTAGTGATCCAGATCCAGAAACCCACAACTACCATGATGGTGAGTGTGATTGCTTGGAAGGTGAGCCTAAAAATGTTCACATCTAAATTTTTTGTACTCCTCATTTTTTTTTTGTTTTAGTGGGCACCGTTTAATATTTTTTATTTCTAAGATATTGTTAGTTTGACAAAAGTTAATATTTCCCATCTTTTTTTTTACAAAACGCGATATCTCCAACAGACTATATTTTGTTAATGCAAATCAATAAAACTAATGTTAATTAATGTTTTATTTCTATAAATCTAACCTCAATTGATTACGTTCTCTGAAATTTCGAAAATTTTAGTACAAAAGCTGCAGTACGTTTTTACATCTCCTGAAAATTTTTGAAAAGTGGATTTATGCAGTTTTGTAAAAAGCTCCTCAATGCTTTTCTTATGGAGAATAAACGTATAGTCACAGTATAAAGAGGTTCCATATGGAATACTGTGGTATAGTATTATCGGCCATCGCCAGCTGTTGATTGCTTACTTAAGAGCATCTCACAAGATCGGTTTAGATAAAATGCATCTTCCGGCACTACGAGTATAATATTTTATATTATGTATACAGTAGAATAAAAAAGCATTGTAACAGTTGTAATAATTGAATTCTCCACGAAATATATAAATAGCTTGGAAAATACTATTTTTTTTAATATTTTTTACTTCAAATAGCGATTTGTTATACAAACCTCGAATAGTTTCGAGGTAGATTTACGAAATAAGACAAAAATTGTGATACATACATAACATGATATATAATATAAAAATAAATAAAACGCACAGATACAATTATAACAAATTATGCTCGATTTATCCAAAATTAAATAATATTCGTAAGAGTAACATTTTTTTTGTAAAAGTTTCGCTGAAAATTACTATCATTAACATAATCACAAATATGGCCATAAACTTGTTTGTTCTAATTAGCATATAATACCTTCCAAGCATTTAATTTGTAATTACGGATGAGCATGGGTGACAGTACCTTTTTAAAACGAAACTACACTTCAATATTTAGTCCCTTTGTGCAGAGAGCTTGGAGTTCCATAAATTTAATGCCGCTGACTCATTAAATGGTTGCATTAAACTAATCCTTTTGAATGTTTTGTTTTTTTTAGATACGGAACAACTTAGTGTGAGTATTGTTGTAAGGGTTACTTCGTTGATGACTGGTGTTAGCGAAATAAGCATTTACCATATCAAAAATGACAAAGAACAAAATGGGACGTTGAAATCGTTTTCCAAAGTGGAAACGGGTGGGCCAAACCGATTCTAAAATGATCACATATGACTAGATTTTAAGAAGTTCTCGACTAAGAATTGTTCATTGTGAATAAAAAAAATTGAGGCCGTAGTTAAAGCGTATACCTAACTTTATACAAGGTAAAGAGAATATACCGCCGTTGTCTCTTTCTACTTTATATAAAAGTCTTCTGAAAGAAATCGGAGTTGGTTATAGGAAACGTGGCCGATGAAGCATCATGGTGAATCGTGTGTTAATGTTGGTCAATCTGTTAATTATAATTAATGTAATTACGAATGGTGCGATACCACTATACATCCGCGATAATTGCCTCAAAGGTTTATGCACTGGTTTAAAAGCACCTACCAAACGAGGTCTACGATACGTTTTACTGCATTCACGTTTTTCAGAAGGTTTCCTTCGGGCATACAGCGTAGTTTTTAAGGCAAAGAAAAATGATGGAGCCTATTACGATGAAATGGATGCCGCATATTGTGAGTCGTGGTTTAAAGAGACGTTAATACCAAACTTACTGGTAGCAGGAAATGGACCGTATCACTTCCGTAAAGTGAGATTCCCTACCAATTCCTGAAATAAAGTACAATCAAGAAAAGACTATTGGACAGAGACATTTTTCGAGGAATGCTATTTGAAATACAAGCTATTAGACGCAGCGCGTACTTTCTTAATGCGCATTCCTACCTCAACTGTACTGCACTTTCAGTGTGAATTTCACTTTTTGAAGGTGAATTTCGTTTTTAGTTTTGATGACACTTTTCCTAAATTTTCTATACAAGTAAGTGTATGTTCTGCAATATTCTCCAGATTCGATAGGCTTTCTTTTTGGTATCTGCCAACTCTCTTATTACTGATGACCGCACTCCGTATCTTGTCCGTCACACATTTCCCTGCTATCCTATGGCCTCTTTTCTTGCATTATATATACAATATTTTAATTGACAGTAAAGTTCTTCAAACGTCTTCTTTTCTTTGCTAATATTTTGTAGTTTTGTAGCCAGTTTGAGTTTGTATAAAAATTGAGTGGATTCATTATTTAGACCTTCTACTTTTTTTTGTAATGATTTTTATTAATTTGTCTTAATTCTATGTTTTATGTTTTCTTCTTTCGTTCATAAGATCAATGAGCTCTTGCGTTATCCATTCTTGGTTTCTGTTGTTGTTCGTGAATCTGATGTCTTCTTCTTAAATCTTTATTATTATTGTTTTTAGAATGGTTCATATTGTAGGTCATATTACTTTAAACATCAGTCTTTACTAAGTTCTTTATTGTTTTTTATTTCTTTCTTAACCTTGACACTAATTTTTTTCTTTCAGGGTTCTTCAGTTTTGTAATATCTATGTTTCTTGTCACTTTTTCTAAATCTCTTTAGTCTAAAATCTATTATAATTGAATTTTGATCACTATGAATATCTGTTACAGGGTGTCTTAGTAGAAACAATTACTGGATAAACATAAAATATAGGACAACATGGATAAAAGAGAAGACCGGGTTCCAACCGGATTTTTGAAAAGAGATACGGGATTGTGAACCATTTACTTTATTATCAGTCATCAATTTATTATAACCGCTATTAAAAAAAAGAGAAATTTGGTGTATTATTTACCTTTTTATATAGTAATGAGACCATTATTTCCAAACCTAGCGACTGTATAAAAATTTCACCATTTTGCAATAAATACCAAACGTTCATATAAAAAAGATAATATTTTTAAAATGAATCAAATAACAATACACTTATTTCTATCTAAAGCTTCCTGAATATTATCTAACATCGGACTCTGATCCCTACTACTCAAAGTATCGATCATATTGATCAATTCTTTAAAAACAGCTACAACTTTCCAATTATATTTGGCGCTACATTCAATATACCCGGATTTCCAATGCTTCTTTACTAAATTTACTATATCCCTACGTTTCTCATCGCTACTATTCGTTATGGCAGGTTTTGAACTATTACTTGCACCCTCCTCAGGTACTATTAGATCTTGCTTATTGCCAACAACTAACAAAGGAACATTTTGCATATTCCTCGATTCACATATTTGTTCCCTAAGTGTTCTAACGTATTGAAAAGTGTCTATATTAGAAAGGTCGAAGACCAGGATGTATGCCGTGGCACTTCGGAGACCATAGTATCGGTAGTTGGCCCACTCGTAGTAGGAGTTCACCGGAAAGTACGGGATTACTGGCAGGTCTGAAATCTTAATCTCGTACAGGCGCTCATTGGTTATTACTGATGGGTAGTACGTGTGTTTTCTTTCTGTGGGAATGTAGTCTTCGCAAATTCGTTCCATACAAATTGCTGCAACAAAATATAATAGTTTAGATATAAATCAATACATTAATCAGGTAATCAAAATCATTTACTTAAATAGATAACAGAATAGTAGTATATTAAGTTTTAGAATTATAACGAGACTAATTAAAAATTGTTTAAACATGAGTCATGTAAGCTCGGTATTCGATAATCAATTGGATTCTATATTCGATTCGATTCAATAATCGATTCTATTCGATACTCGATTTAATTTAATTTGATTCGAGAATCGATTTGATTTAATTCGATAATCGGTTTGATTCGATAATCGATTCGATAATTGATTCAATAATCAATTTAATAATTAATTCGATTTTTGATTTGATTTGAGTCTGGCTATTTCTCTATGTTAAATACCATAAGAAATCGCTAAGGCCCATTCTGGTCATTTTTGACGTATTTTGTGGTGGATACGCGACGGCTTATCGGATCATGACGTGTGGTATCGTCGGAAAGGGTAGGGTGTAACGAATACGTGAACACAAAAACAAAAATGGCGGCATTGTACAAAGGACACTAAGCTAACGTACAACAATGTGTAAGGTATTGATGGAAAGAGGAGGTGGTGATGAATATGTTAAGACAAAAAACAAACGCAAAGATAATGCCAAAACGGCTCTATATTGTATCTCTGTTGTTATTAGTTAGATTATTACGTATAACACATTAAATGAAGGAGGAGGGGATATCGGATAGGGTAACACAAAAAACAAAGACAAAGACAATACCAAAACGGCACTATACCTTATCACGGCTTCTATTGATCCGATATTTGCAAATGAGTGCTCGTTGGAAAGAGGAGAAGATATCGAATATGTTATTACAAAAAACAAAGATGGCAGCATTGTCAGAGCGGCACTATATCAGATCTTCGTTGTTATTGATCGGATTTTAGCATAATAGACATTGAAGGAAGGGGGAGTAGTCACTAAGGCTAACTGGGAAACAAACATGTTAAAACGGCGCGATATGAAAATATCGAATATTTTATCACAAAAAAAGACAAAGACATTGTCAAAACGGCACTATATCGGATCTGCGTTGTTATTGATTGGATTTTAGCATAATAGACGTTGAAGGGAAGGAGAGTAGTCACTGAGGCTAACAGATAAACTAACAAACATATCAGAACCATATTTTATTTGATTCTACTCGATTAGATACGATTAGATTATATTTATTTTGGTTTATTTTATAAAATAAATATAACTGAACTTATTTTAAATTTAAATTGTGGCGTATTCCCATCAAAAATAGTAAATTTTATTTTATTTTACTTTTTCTTATTTTATTTTATTAATTCTATAATCTAATAGTCTAACAAAAGTGCATTCATGAGGCTGCAAGTGAAGCTTTGGGTTATAAAGACAAACATGAAACAAAAAATCAAGAATGGTGGTCGGAGAATATGCAAACTTTGGTCAACAAGAAGAAAACTGCTTATCAGAAATGGATGTCAACGAGAAAGGATGAAGATTACAAGATATATAAAAAATTTAATCGAGATGTAAAAAGAGAAGTAGTGAAAAGTAAAAATGAGATGTGGGATCAAAAAGTGTGCAGAGGTGGATAGGTATATGGATGGAACAAGCGTTGAGGAAGCTTGGAAGGTGAAAGTCTCTCAGGAGGGAAGGAAAGGAAAAATCTAACTTACAGTTAATAGATCTGAAACAGTGGAAACACCATTATCAGGTCTTACTGACATGGGATAGATGTAAATTCCAACAGATCGAAATGGAAGAAATATCTGAACACACAAATAAGTGAGATAACAACCGGAGAGTTAAACGATGCCCTCAAAAGATCGAAAAACGGTAAAGCAGCAGGACCTGGAGACATCCCAATTGAGTTAAATAAAGTATAGACCAAAAATATTACATGAGATGTTGGTTCAACTATTTAACAAATGCTTAAAAGGACAAAATATCCCTGATGATTGGAATATTGGATACATCAGCTCAATATTCAAGAAAGGGGATAATCGCAAATGCTCTAATTATAGGGGAATAACTGTTATCAGCTCCGTGGGAGGTTGTAAGGTCGAATAATAAAAAAAAAGAATCGAATCAGAATACGAAGACATAGAAGAACAAAATGGATTTCGTGCAGGAAGATCGTGCACTGATGGTATATTCGTTCTGCAGCAGGTAATAATAATAAGAATAATAGTAGCTTGGCTATACAGTTTACTTTAATTGCTATCGACCTATCTTCTTCTTACAAACTCCTTCTGATGACGGGTAGACTCAGAAACACGTGTCAGGGAGTGATAAGAGACTCAAATTAAATCGAAACGCAACCTTCCTCGTATATATATATATATATATATCTACATTTTAAATACTGTTTTAATGGAAATAAGCCATAATTAAAGGTCAAAATAAGTTTATTGACATTTCAATTTCCACTTGTATTGGCAGACCAAGAAAAAGATGTTGCAATAATTTAAACAATTTACGAGGCTAATATTGAAGAAGAAATAGGCTTTAAAACCTACATATAAGAAGGAAGAAGAAGAAGAAGATCTTTAATCCAAAAAATAATAACTTCTCTACCGAGCTTTGATATGATAGGATAATTTCTGTTTTAATATGGTTCAGATAATTTCAGTAAATCGGCCAAGAACAGGATGAAACGGACTATATGTTTAATTTATAAATTTTAATTAAAACCGACTATGTTGTGCATTACACCAAGTTAAATAATTTAATCATTTTCAAAGAAATTAACTCTAGAAATCAGATGCGGATACATTATTAAATAGTGAAATAATTCATGAATCCTAAAATATTGTCGTCTCTAGACACCACTGGCATTATCTATATTACTTTACTAACTATGGGTTATATTTTAGCTCATTATTATAAATAGGAGAAATTTCCTAATCCAAAACTAAGAAAAGTTAAAACAGTTCCTTAAAGTTGGCACTTCACACGCTGCTAAAATCTCGTGATCCGATTCTCACCCAATTCTTCTCACGAAGCTAATCGTAGTTCGTTCTTTGTAACTATTCCATTAAAGTCAGACACATAAGGCTGAATGAAAATAGCTTTATTTGCTTAGTTTGACAAGCCGTAACGACATTCTGACCACGGTGCAACATTTTGAAAACTTTATTAATTACTAGGGAGTTGGTAATCAAGTTTGAGCCAGATACGGAATATTTTGATTAAGTTAGAGGAGGAAATTATGTAGGTAATTATATGTAGTATACGGCTTTCAACTTTAGTTGCTCTCTACGGTTGCTCTCTACGCTAGTTTTTGACATTGCCGTACTCTCACTGTTACTATTAGTATAACTTTATAACTGTTTAAGTATTCAATTATTTTGTATTTTGTTAATATTATACAAAATATTATTTATAGCTCAATCTGTTTTGATTATTGGATAAAGCTTCAAGTTTAAGAGTGTGCAAGATTAATTTAAAAACTGTTTTTGCCTAAATAGAGATTCTTACACGTGTATATTACAAATAGCGTACTGAAGATCATACCTATGCTAATAAATAAAAGGTATAGTAATAAACTATGATGTTAGAAAACTGAAAGATCCCAATGTTTGACTAAAGGTGAGTGAAAACTTGAATACAAAGGTGCTAAAATGCAGAAATGCAGGAGCTATAAAGAAAAGTCTAATCATCATACAAGAAACAGTTAGACAAATAAAAGAACTACACCTGAAAAAAGATACAGAGAAACGAAAATCGTGGGTGACCGATGAAATACTTGAACTTATGGATCGAAGAAAAAAAACAAAGAATATCTCCAAGAATATAAGAGAATACATACCGTAGTCAGAAGAAAGACAAGAAAAGCCATAAAGAAATAAAAAAAAGAACAATGTCAAGAAATAGACGAGTATCAGAGTCGATATTATCCTTTTAAAGTCCATTGAAAGGTGAAGTAAATAGCTGGAAAGCTCCGAAAACGTAACAGCGGAAAAATAAGAAATGATAAAGGCAATCTTGTCATAACTAAAGAAGATAAAAAAAAGTATGGAAAAAATACTTTGAGAAACTTTTTCACGTCCTTAGAACAATACAAGAACCCACCATCGAAGAAAATTCAGGTCACGAAATCCTACCAGAAGAAATAATGGCAGCCGTCAGACAAATGAAGGATGGTAATGCACAGGGACTTGATGAAATTCTTACAAAACTGCTGAAGCCATTAGATGCAGAACAAATAAAAATAATAACTGAAATATTTAATGAAATATACAAGACAGAAAAAATAAAAGTAGAGTGGCTAAAATTGGAGTTCTTACCATTGCTCAAAAAACCAGGAGCAAAAGGTTGTGAACACTATAGGATCATAAGCCTAATGAGCCATCTGCTGAAACTGTTTTTAAAAGTCATTCACAAAATAACTTAATGGAAATGCGAAGAACAAATTGTGCCTAATCAGTTTGTCTTTGTGAACGCCGTTGGTATGAGGGAAGTTTTATTTAGCGAGCAGGTATTGTTTCAGAAATGTAGAGATATCAGCTGTGATGTTTTTGCATGCTTGATTGACTAAAAGAAGGCTTTAGATATGGTCAAGCATGAACAAATGATGGAAGTACTGAAGAGGACAGCGATTGACAAAAGAGACCTAAAAATAATACCTAACCTGTATTGGAATCAATCAGCGGTGATCTAAATAGATGGAGAATATATAGATCAGGTCAAAATTTTAAGTGTGAGGAGTGAGACAGGCGTGCATAATTTAACTACTGTTATTCAATCTGTACTCTGAGCACATTTTTGAAGAGATTCTAAAAGATATTTATGAAGGCATCTCAATTAACACCTCAATGGAGTTTTCCAATACCATAAAAGGGCTGCAAAACTTAAACAAAATAACGGAAACAAGTAGAACATATGAACTGGATATAAACACCAGAAAAACCAAGCTAATGATCATTAGCAAGGAAAACATAACTGGAGAAAATTTGTATGTGAACCAAATAAGAATTGAATGTGTCTCACAGTACAACTACTTGA